TATATATATATATATGACATCATTCCTATACGAATGCTTCTCCAGCCTGCCTTTGGCGTGCAATCTCCCTATGTCAGGATATTCGAGTGTAGATGAAGCTGGCTCATTCTTTGGAACCACCACACATGTGACATTCTGCACACAATATCACCATGGTTATTTAGCCGTTCCCCAAACACTGGACACCAGATGGCTCCCAGTTTTCCACTGTAAAAATTACCCTGCAATAAGCATCCTTGTGCACACATAAAGTTGTCCCCTCCTGAGGACAGAAGGAAAGAGGTGGAATCGCTGTGTCATAGGCTGTGCCTGTTTTTGCTCCGGTGATCTCAGCCAGGTAGTAGGGCCCTGCAGCCTGCAGGGTCAGCCGCGCACTGCCCACCTGCAGTTTCCTCTGCCTGCAGTCACCTGCTGTGGTGCCAGAAAGGCCCGGCCCCCACCCTTAGCTTAATGCCACCTCCTGGAGAGTCTTCCCAGCTCCGCCTCTAGTCCCCAGGCAGGTGGCTGCTCCTCACCCATGGGCTGTGATTATCCACCTGGCCCTCTCCCTCTCTGGGCCGTGAGGTCCCAAGGAGGGGCAGACGCTGCCTATCGGATTTATCTCTGGGTTCCCAGCACTCAGCAGTGACTCAGCACATCTTCCACCTTCTGGAAGAAAAACACTGTAGCTCAGGGTCACCGGCCTCTCCTGCCCTGCTTCACGGTTCTGCCAGCCACATTCAGCCTGTGTTTTTGACCATACCTCACTCAGGGCCTGGATCTCCACATCTCACTGAGCAACCCCCAAAGTGTCCAAGTGCCCAGGAGTGTAAGGACACTTTATGGAAGGGGTAATCGGACCCAGAGGACCTTACGTCACACCCCACATAAAACCACCTGCACCACAGCTGCTGTCCCTGAGCCCTCAGCTTGACCTCCCCCAGCTCTGTCTCTCTTCTGGGCCTGGTCCAGCAGCAACTCTGACTGCCTCCCAGCTTCCCCCTGGGCGTTTTGAGCCCCTCCCCGTTACTCCCTCCTGCCTCCCACCTGAACTGGTGCTGATACTCAACATAAGCAAGGAACATCCAGGTACCAGGGCCAGGCTGAGCGCCCTCGTCTAGCCCACTCCTGCCTGCGTTCCATCCTCCAAGCATCCACAAGGCTTATCCCAGGAGGAACAGGACTGCAAAACAGGGCCGCTGTGGAAGTGAGGGAGGCCTCAGAATACCAAACGCTCAATGGTAGGGACTTGGGCCTGGAGGGTTTCCATCTAGGAAGGTCTGTTCAGCCCCACAACAGCGGGGTATGGAAGGTACTGGATGGTCGGGGTTGGAGTGGGTGCAGGTGGGGCACACCCCCACCCGAGTCCCCACACCTGGACTCCGCAGGCCGACACCTTCATCATCGAGGCCGCTGACCTGGGTGTCATCTACAAGATCAAGCTCCGCCACGACAACACCAAGTGGTGTGCAGACTGGTATGTGGAGAAGGTGGAGATCTGGAATGACACCAATGAGGATGAGTTCCTGTTCCTGTGCGGGCGCTGGCTGTCCCTGAAGAAGGAAGACGGGAGGCTCGAGAGGCTCTTTTATGAGAAGGTGTGGGAAAGGCGGTGTGGGGTGGGGGGACTTGGCTCAGCCGTACCTCGTACTGTGGCAGAAGGGGCCAGAGCCGTAATGGGGACTGGGTCACGCTCCTGGGCAGGAGTACACTGGGGACCGAAGCAGCAACTGTAGCAGCCCGGCTGACTTCTGGGAGATCGCCCTGAGCTCCAAGATGGCCGACATCGACATTGCCACAGTGACGGGGCCCATGGCTGACTACGTGCAGGAGGGCCCAGGTAGGCCAAGCTGGGGGCTCAGCAGAGGGGAAGCAGGCACCGGGACGTGTGTTCAAGCTGTTCTTGGACAGGCCATGCATTAGCCCCGCCGTCATGTGACTTCTACCTAGCGCTTTGTAATTCACACCGAGTTTTCCATCCCCACAACAGCCCTACAGGGGCAGCCATCAGCCCTGTTGCCGATGGAGAAACGAAGGCTAAGAGCAGTCAGGGTGATGGTACCCTTAATCCACTGACCCACTACCAGGAGGCTGTCACCATGAACTCTGCCCTCACCCAGACTCTCAGGATGTAGATTCAGCCCCGTGGGCCTGGGACAGTTCTCTCCAGACCCACACAGCAGCAGTCAGAACACTTTGCATGTCAGGAGAATATCACACAGAGGACTTCAGCCGTGTAGACTTAAGGCACAGTGTGATGTGGTCAGACAGAGGAAGAATTTCTAAGATGGCTTTAGGGGGATTTAAGTTCCATTTCTGGTTTAGACAATAATATATGTGACCTTGGACAGTCACTCTTTTGGCCTCAGTTTTCCCCTCCTCCATAAAGTGATGGTGTAATGCCCTGACAAGCTCATTGTTCCAACCAGAGGTTTGAGAAAAAGTAGTTCTGTGTTTGTCTATTGGACATTTAAAGGCACTGCCTATCTGTTCAGCTCTCTTAAGCATAGAGCATGACAATCACTGTATTCCTCCCCAGGAGACAATGTGTGTGTGTATGGGGGGGGGGAGGGGGTGTCTCTGGGGCTGGCCAGAGTGCGTCAATCATTTTCTATTCTACCTTCTCATTATGTGAATAAATGACAGGACCCACAAGAAGTATTTCTCCTGAATTAAGCACTATGATAAACTGTGAAAGGCCAAGGGGATCCTCCTATAAAGGTGAAATAAGGCCACTGGCAGGTGCACAAAACAGTACTGGTAATTCCAGCCAAGAAGGTCTAGTTTGGAAACTTTCAAAGAGATACAAATTACATAACCTGTAACCATATAACCTCTAACCTATACCAGAGCATTGTCTCTCAAGATATTCCCAGAGAAGGGTTTCCAACTTGTATCAGTTAGTAACTGCAAGTGACATAGACAAGATAGTAGCTTAAACAAATGAGGTATTTTCCTTTTTTCACACATAAAAGTTCACATATAGGCAACGAGACAGGCACAGCAGTTCCAATAAAGTCAGTGACTTCCTTCCTAAAGACTGCCCATGGTTCCAAGATGACTGCTGGAGTTCCAGCCATCACACCCACATTCCAAGCAGAATGAATGCAAGGATAAGGGGTAAAAGGGTGCTCCTCCCAGCTGAGTCAGAAAGTTCCCCCAGAAACCCGCCCAACAATATATCTGGTTGCATTTTATGACCACCCCTAGCTGCAAGGAGAATGGGTACTCATTGGGCAACTAGAACTCTATGCTGCACTACCTGAGCAAGGTTTCCTGCGGGTTAATCTAGTCTGTTTTGGAACTGGGGATGCCTTCTAGAACTTTCATTCACCATGCTACACATATAATGCTATTTTATTTTTCTTCCCCAAATTCCTACTTTCTGTGAGGCCTTGTTTTTAACAACCTTATTTTCGCTGACTGCAGTAAGCTTTTCAGGCATCTAACCCCTGTACCTGGTGAAAGGTTATTTTCTTACCCTACTTCACAAGGGAGTGCTGGGCACAACTGAAATAATTGGTCAATGGGGCTTTCCAGAAGTGTCAAGGATGCTCTTTTAGGATGATCTTCGCTTGGGAGATACCGATCTCTCATCCCCCGGAGAGTAGACGCTCATCATAGATAATTCACCAGTCTAGAAAGCTCTGGTGCACTTTGCTCTCCAAAAGTCATTTCCAAATCTGTGAGCCCACCCCGAGCCCACCTGGCCCATTTTGAGGCTGGGCCCCCTGATCTCTTGCAGTGATTCCATACTACGTGTCAGTCACCACCGGGAAACACAAGGACGCAGCCACTGACAGCCGGGCCTTTGTCCTCCTCATCGGGGAGGATGATGAACGCAGTAACCGCATCTGGCTGGACTTCCCCCGGGGGAAGAAGGGCTTCAGCTGTGGCTCCGTGGAGGAGTTCTATGTTGCTGGCTTGGATGTGGGCATCATCAAGAAAATAGAGGTGCTGGTCCCGGGGTCCTGGGATGGTGCCCACCCCGAGGGAAGGAAGGAGCCAACCAGTACATAGTGGGAGGGAGTGTGGAGGGCAGGCCGAGCAACCAACCTGGAGCTCCACCTCAGAGCAGGTAGTCGGGGAAGGTCCCTGGCCTCTGTCATCAGCTGGCTTGGTAACCTGGAATGAGTCACCACCCAGCCAGGTCTTTTTCCACCCACCCAGTGAGGAAGCCTGATGTATTAGTTTTCTATTGCCGGGTAACAAATTCCCGTGACCTTAGCAAAAGAACACGCAGATGTATTATTTCCCCGTTTCCCAGGCCAGGAGTCCACATGCGAGTTAGCTGGGCCTCTTTCCAACATCTCATTGGGCTTGAATCAAGTTGCTGCTGGGGCCGTGGTCTCGTCTGAGGCTCGGGGTCCTCTTCCAAGGTCACTGGCGGAATCCACTTCCTGGCAGCTGTAGGACCGAGGCCGCCAGTTCCCAGAGGCCATGTGTGTCCCTGCCACGTGACCTTCTCCAAAACATGGCAGTTTATTTTTTCAAGGCCAATAAGACACAATCTCTTCTGCTTCAGATCTCTCTAACTTCTCCCATCTCTGACATCGGGACCCTTTTCTAAAAGGCTTGCCTGACTAGATCAGGCTCACCCAGAATAATCTTGGATTAACTCAAAATCATCTGATGAGGGGCCTTTATTTTATCTGCAAATTCTTCACCTTCGTGGGAAAGACCTGGGTCAGTGCGTGCAGAGCACATTGGGAGGAAGCACCGAGGAAGGAGGGTGCAGAATGGGGAAGGGGATGCTGAGTGGCGAGGGCTTCCTTCCCAGACCCTCATGGCCCTGGCCTGTCCCCTCCCAGCTGGGCCATGACGGGGCCTCCCCGGAGAGCTGCTGGCTGGTGGAGGAGCTGTGTTTGGCCGTGCCCACCCAGGGCACCAAGTACACATTGCGGTGCAACTGCTGGCTTGCCAAGGACCGAGGCGACGGTGTCACCTCCCGTGTCTTCGACCTCCTGGATGCCATGGTGGTGAACATTGGGGTGAAGGTATAGGGGGGACCTGCGTGTACATATTGCGTGGCAAGGGCAGTGCATGTTGGGGTCGGAGAGCAGAAGGGGAGACAGAAGTGAAGGAAGAAGGAGACTCGTGCTGGGGCACCGGCAGGGGCTGCAGCCTGGTATACTAGCCACATTCACTTTGCTCAGGCCTCTTTGGGTCTGCTGCTGGGTTACCTTGGGCAAGACGTCTGGCCTCTCTGGGCCTTGGTCTTCTCATACAGTACATGGAAGTAACACTTCCCATCTTGTTCCACGTGAGACCTCGATGAGCATGAATGAGATCATGAATAGTCCACGAAGAACTTCGCAAGCTCTGCGTAGATGTGCGGAGTCATTTTTTTCTGAAGGCTCCCTCAACACCCAAAGGCAGGGGTGGGAAATGATAGCATTTGGGATGCTGTGCACTTCGGGATCTTGCAGTGCAGTTAGAGCTGCTTGCACGGGACCCTCTTTAAGTGGAAAAGGCTGGAAGGCAGGAGCTCTGAGCTCCTGTCCAGGCCCCACCTCTAAGTGGCCAAATGACCGGAACAAGTTGTTGTGTAAACTCACAAGTCGGTGCTAGGCAAGAGTCGGGGTGCCTGAGTGCTGGTGCCCAAGGATACGTGGCCCGTTGGTGGCTCAGAGGCCTCGGTTCACGTGCCCGTACAGGCTTCTCCTTCTCCCCAAAAAGCTGTGGCATCAACAGGAAGCTCCAGCCCTCATCTCTGTTCCCAAATCCAAACCAACGAGCTACTAGATTTAGGTCAGAAGGTGTCCCACAAAGATAAGAAGAAATCACCCTAGACCTGAGGGTGCCCTGCTTATTTCTATATGGAAACAGAAGGAAGGGCTGAGTTTGGGGCTTTGAAAACCTGGACAGGCAGGAGGGTGGATGCCTGCCCCTCGCCTGCTTGAGAGCCAGAAAGCAGAACCTTCTACAGCACAGATATCCTCCCCTCCCTTCCCCAGACATCTCCATCTGTGGCCAGACGGATGGTGTGGGTGAGCACACAGTTCATCCAGGGACCTCCATCCTGACCCAGTTCCCAGCATGCGCGTGGGTGTGAGTGTGTCTGTGTGTGTGTGCTGCCCCCCCCCCGGCACACACATGCACACCCCACTCAGTGCAGCCGCGTCTCCCCCTGAGCCCTTTAGTCTGTGGAAATGTAGACCCACGCCCCTATTATTCATGTGACAAAAGAACATAGGTTTATCAGTTTGCAAAGCACCACAGGGTTCTTTGGACTGGCCATCTCCCCAGGAGATATCGGACCAGAATTATAAAAGCCCTGTTTCTGTGTCTCTTTCTGGAAACAACCTCTTACCTAAAAAGAGATGTGTCCGTGTAAAGGAGAAAGAAGTGGGCCCAGAGAACACAAGAGTCCAGAGGGACCAGCCTTAAGGGGCCAGTCTCCATACAGTCGCCAAAGCACTCATTTTGATCTATTTTTCATGCCTGTCTGACTAAAAGCAAAAAGTGCCAGGCTCCTGCCTTCATTCCCAATAGCTCCGCCTGCCACCATGATGCCCCTGTTAAGGTCTGAGAGGATTTTCCTGGTAACGCAAGAGGCTCTTCAATCATGTCCTCAGCAAACAAGTGCTAAACTTGTCCTCTGGGCCAGGCCTGCAAATGCCACTTCTGACCTTAGAGCATCATGGTAAAGATTCTAGTTACTGTATGCAAAGCACCCAGCACTCAACAGGCACAATGTCAGGGGCATGATCACTGTGACAAATAACTTGGGCTCTGAGTTGGAGGGCGTCTGGGTAGTGGGGACCAGGCACCTACACAGGTGATATTGCAGTGTGGCGGCCACAAGGGGAAGGGAACGGCCAGACGCGTTCAGAGGAGACGGGTCGGCCCGGCACTTCCCTGGCCATGTGTGCAAACTTCTCCCGAGCTTATGCTGGTCCTTGGGCACCTGGCAAGAAGGAATGGAGTAAGAAGCCAGGACCAGAGGACGCCAGAGAGGCGGTGAAGGTGGCCACCCTTGCCACAAGGCTGCTTCTTGGAGGAAGAGCCCAGCGAGGGCAGCGTCTAGGAAAGAGAAGGCTGCTCCCTCCCCCTCCAGTGAGTACACGCAAAAGGAATACATTCTCTCTGGAGCAAACCTCAGGCAAAAGGGCAAAATCCCAACTTGACTAGCAAATCGTGGAATCGGTGGTTGTCCTACCTCCCAAGTGAATGGAGCCAGAGCTCCTTCAACAGTAACTGCTCATGAAGGCTCAGGATGTGCGCTGGCCACACAGGAAGCAGGGATGGACCCGGAATTGCTGCTTCCGGGCCCATAGCACACGGAAGGCTGGGCATGGGCCCAGGTTTACCTGTCTGCGGCTCTCACAGTTCTGCGAAACGTTTATCCCTTTTTCTCAGTGGAGGAAGCAGAGGCTGGCCAGGCTGGAGTGTCTGCCCAAGTTCAACAGCTGGCAGGTGGCAGACTGGGGATGCAGATGACTGGGTAGCTCCAGAAGCTGCTGTCCCGCCATCACGTGCTGCTCAACTGCATGGGCTTGAGCTGGGATTTGATTGACAAAGAGATCGGTGAATGCTGGGGCTTTCAGTCATGCTTCTGTGCACACACGTCCTCTGCAGAAACTGAACTCCTCTCTAGCACCAAACTGGACACAGCTGAGGACATAGAGTAACAAGGCCTGACTCTTGTTCTCCAGATGATAGCGATTGATCAGGGGCGGGATTCTTTTCAGAGCCATAGAGCTGGCAGCTTGCCCTGCCCTGGAGAGAATGAGGCAAGCCGGTGGGGTTGGTGGGTGAAGCCCAGGGTCAGGATCCGCATCCCTCTCCCTGCAGGTGCTCTATGAGATGACAGTGTGGACGGGTGATGTGGTTGGCGGTGGCACAGACTCCAACATCTTTATGACCCTCTATGGCATCAATGGCAGCACAGAGGAAGTGCAGCTGGACAAAAAGAAGGCCAGGTATCCAGAGGTGGCCTCTGACCCTTGCTGCTGCACGCATCCAATCCCCCAGCCTCCAGTCCTACCCTGCCTCCCTCACTCTCCCCTCATGCCTTAGGGACTTCCAGCCTCCACACCTTTATCCATGTGATTCCTCCCTCCCAGAATGCCCTTCATCCATTCTCTTCTGTCTCAGGACCTTTCTCTTCCAGGGGCCAGCTCAAATCTACCTCCGCCAGGAAGCCTTCTTTGATCACCTTCTTTGATCAGCCCCACAGTCCATCCATTCGTCCCTTCCTGCCTCCCTGCCTTCCTGCCTTCCATTCATCCATCACTTAAAAATGTTTATTGTAAAGCCTATATATTTATTAGTTGATAGCACTGTATCCTGTGAATCTCCTGCTTTCATTCACTGGATGGTGGTGATGTAAGATTTAAGATTAGGGGAAGCTGAGTGAAGAGAACACAGAAACTCAGTTCTATTTTTGCAACCTTCCTACACGTCTAAAATGATTGCAAAATAAAAAGCTAAAAGAATTTTTTAAATAGTAAAAAATGATTGAACCCCTAGTATCCATCAGGCACTGTCTTAGACACTGGAGACGGAGTACAACCAGGAAGAGAAGACCCCCAAGTTCACAAGGCTTAATACCTGAGGGAACCATAGCAAGAGCACGAACACTGTTGTGGCCTTATTGTGTGCCATGAGTTTTTCTAAGCCCTTTGAATGTGTTGGCACACCTTGCCCTCCCTACAATTCTATGAGGACCATTATCATCATCCCCGTTTTATAGGTGAGGACACTGAGGCACAACAAGGTGAAGTCACACTGTCGAAGGCCACATGGCCGGTACACTGTGGCACTGGGAACTGCACCCATCCCTAGTCTTAAGCATTAGGTTCTATTGCCTCTTAAGTGAGTGGTAAGGATGATGATAGTGGACCTCCCATAGCCCTTACTGTCTGCACCTTTCGTCGAATCCCTGACTCAGTCCTGGGTTTGGGATGGTTTTCTGTGTTCAGCTGTTGTCCGCCAAGCCATCCCTGGCCCCTGATGTGTTGAGCAGCAGAGGGGAGAGGGGGGAGACTCAGAGCCCAAGCAGGCAGTCATGGACAAGTCTCGACCACCGTAGGCAGTGGTCTGGCTGCCTGGGATGGTTGCCACAGAGCTGTGGGCCAGAGATCTGCTATCTTGCATGCTGTCTGTTTGGATGTTCATGCTCTTTCAGTCCTCACTTCTATACTCTGACCCTTACTTCCATCCCAACCTCAAAGTCCTATGGTTGCTGTTTTTTTTAATTAATCATCCCATGTCACTGTCCCACCTTATTTTTCAGACAGAGAGATAGACACCTTTCTGGTAGTACTTAAACTCCAAAAGTGTTGCTCAAAAGCCACATTATAAGTATAGCCATATCATAAATGATTTGAGGCACCTTGTTACTTAAAGTATTTTGTTTTTCTGAATAAAGACTTGCTGTTTGTGATGAGAGCCATCACTGGTTTGCAAGCTCAAATTAAACTTTATTTCATTTGCAAGTGGCTCTGTTTGCCCCATGCCTTGTTCTGGGTGTCCACATCTTGACTCAGGGACTTGGATAGTAAGACTCATTTGTGCTTGTGACATGTGCTGCAAGGAGATGCTTCCTCCAAGTAATGGTGTGCGACCAGATAGGAGGGAGAAACATGCACGCATACACAGAGAAGGTCTTATGTGGGTTTGCCTGCTGCAATTGCCCTGTTGTCAAATGCTGTTATACCCAGAGGCCAAAGTTGATAGCCATGCACTCACCCCACTCCCCAGCTGAAGCCCCAACTTCTTATCTTGCCACTTTGGGGGAGGCTGTTGTGGTAAACTAATTCACACTGAGATGCTGGTGAATTAATGTGGCATCCAAAAGAGGGGTCATCCTCAAAAGGTAATGTGAAAACTAAGGAATGAGTCCCTAATGGTGGAATTGGAGTCAATTGATGTCCAGTGGGCATAGGTGCTATTTTTAGACAAAGGTATGTGAGGTTTTTTTTAGGGAAGTAAGTGCCTGTAAGGAATCATTCCTAGGTCTAGTAGAGAACTCATGTCCTGGGAGATTCCTTGGTCTGGAAACAAAAGGAATTCAGAGTTCTGTTGGGTCTGACCAACAGAATGGCCCCATGGCTTTCACTAGCCCTCAGTACAAAGAAGAGGAGGAGCTGAGCTCAAGGGAATGCTAGGGTTCTAGCTGCCACTTCAGGAGGCAGTTTGGAACTATTTGACCAGTGACCATGGCCAGGGTGGTGATAAGCTTGTAAGTTTCGAGTCTTCCTTCCATATCTTTATCATTTGGAACTCATACTGCCTGGTTAGCATTAAAACTCTGAGAATGGAAAGAGCCCATCTTTGGGGACTTCAGGGGCAGAGGAGTCATTGGTGAGGCTGAGTCCTTCTCTCAGTTGGGCTTGGAGACAAGTCTCAGGGGACAGAAGAGGAATGCAGGTTGCCTTCGAGAGCACCCAGGTCAGGCAGTTGGAAAGTCCCAGGCCCGCCGCTGGGTGACCCCTCCAGACACATCACCTTCAGCTTGGAGGTCACAATTTAAGAGGGCATTGGCAGATTTGAACAGGTACTCAGCCTGATTCTGGCATTTGAGAATGATAAATATTTAAAATCTGTTTGAGGTTTCTTTGGCTTTGGTCTGCACTCAAACCTCTGCAAGCATACTCACGCAATATGGATGCAGGCAGGTGGGTGCAGCTCCCTGTTGCCACCTTCTATCTCATGGGGGCATGTGCCATGTTCACTTTTATCTCAGCGGTCCTGAGGAGGGATCTGAGGGGCCAGGGGCTGTTGGCTTTGCCTTTTACCCCCCCAGGCACGTGAGCACCCGTGGACACTGACACCACCACCAAGGCAGTCATCCCGCTCCTTGGAGCTCCCCCTATGCAGATCATCTGCCCCCCTTTAGGCCCCAAAGTGCTCCTTCCATGCCTCTTGGGCTTGTGGCAAAAATTTACTGCAAATCTAGTGGCTTAAAACAACAGGAACATATTCTCTTACGTTTCCTGAGACCAGGAATCTGAAATCAGTGGCATTTGGCAGAAATCAAGCCCAGCCTCACCCCCTTCAAGGCCTCCGGGGGAGAATCCTTTCCTTGCCTCTTTCAGCTTCTGGAAACTGCCAGACTTCTTTGGCTTGTGGCCGCATCTCTTCAGTCTTCAAGGCCAGCATCTGTCCAGTCTCTCCCTCCCCATCTTCACATCATCTCCTCCTCTGCAGATGTGTCAAATCTCTCTTTGCCTCCCTCTTACGAAGACACTCGGGACTGCGTTAAGGGCCGTCCTTGGGTATTTGTCAGCCTACCACAAGGGCCATGACCCACAGAGCATGGATCTGAAAACCCTGTCATGTAAGGAATAGCCAAAAGTTCCAGGGACATTTAATTCCCAAAAGAATTTTATTTTGAAACATATATGGGTGGGGATACATCTCCTTCGATGACCTGTATACTTTAGTGACTTCATGCCTCTTTGGCACAGATTGATCAGAGAATATAGTTGTATTTATTTGTATCCAGTCATCCATTCACATATGCATAACAAATGTGGCATATATAACATACATTTGTACCTAAATCGTAAATACTTATGGAACAACCTATGCAGCCACCCCCTAGGCCAGGAATTGAACACTTCCAGGTCACGCTACCCCCCCCCCCCCATCCCTAGAGGTAACCGTTATGTTGGTTTTGAAGGTACTTTTTTGCTTTCTTTCAACATTTTCCCCTACCCTGTGCATGCCTCCCTAAACAATCAGCTTCCATTTCGTCTTGATCTCTGGGTTACGGAAGTGAATCAGGCTGCAGGCATTTTATGTGTTATTTCTTTCCTCAACGTTAGGATTTTCAGATTTCTCTGAGCTGCTGAGTGTGGCTGTGATTTATTTGCTCGTCTTCACTGCTGCTTAGTATTCTATTGACGGAGGCCTGGAGAAGAGAGGCCAGATGGCCTGTTGCAAGGGACCGGGGAGGGAAGTTGAGGCACCAGGTGTGGCCGAGCTGTTGCCAATGAAACAATGAGCTGAGGTGGGCAGAGCTGGGGCCAGAGCTGGGGCAGAGCTGAGGGGAGGCCCAACTCAGTGTAAACAGAACATATCAGGAGTTGGTGACCGCCATCCAGAGAGAGAAAGAGCTGCCCCAGGCTGACGCAGGGGCCATCACTGGAGGTGACAGGGGCATGAACTAACCCTAACCCTAACCCTATTGGTGTGGAGAGCCCAGCCTGGAAGCAACTTGGTCTAGCATGAAGCTGCGGCTGAGGCTTGACCCCGGCAGTTCCTGGGAGCCCCGGCCATGTCTCTTAAGATGCACAAAGGCAGACTGCCTAAGCAGCTGCCCCCAGCAAGGCTGGTTTTGGACCCCACACCCTTCTTCCCTGTCTTCCAGCCAGTCCCTCCCCAGGCTCCCTACCCACACACCTTCCCTAGCTTCTTAGCAGTGTCTCAAATTCTTCCATTAACTAATTGCTTTTCCACACAAAAGCCCTGGTCCTGGTTAGCTCTCCGGCTGTTCTGAGTCACAGAGACCAATGAGTGGCTGGGTGCCAGGCCCTTTCCCAAGATGGATGGTCCTTGCCAGGGAGTAGGGAACAGAAGGAAACCAGAATAGGAAGGGATTGAGGGGAGGCCAAGGTTGCAGTCCCCGAACTCCACCTCTTTAGCTGCTGAGTAGAGGCTCCTTGGAGCAGATGAGCAGGGTACATTCTGGGCCACTGGGGCGGCCCTGTCCTCCTGAGCCAGAAACAAGGGGGACCTGGGTCAGAGGCTGACTGCCTCTCCAAAGGTGCCCCTCAATGTGTGAGCCCCTCTGAGTGTCAGCTGAGGTGTCCTGAGGGGCTCTGCGACAGCAGGAAAGATGTGGTTGGTGAGTCACGGAGGGATGAAGGGTCACGGAGGGGCTCTCACTTTGGTTGCGGGCCTTTCTCCCTGAGAGAAGGAGGTCCATCCGGATGTAACTGGGGTCTAGTCCATAATAAAGGTGAAAGGGCAGAGTCATCCACTCTGGAGTCTTCTAGAAGAAAAACTTATTTCTTTGTCCCTTTTTCCTTATACCTGCCCCGCCATAAAATCTCCATAAAATAGGGATTCTTGGCTAAATTCAAAGGGTGGTAATTAACGAGAAGCGTAAAGCCAAGAATTCTAAATTCCTTTGATCTGCAAAATTATACACTTGGTGAGGAGTCAACTAGTTGAAAGATTATTTGAGGGAATTTCTAGTATGTGACATGAGCCTGATGAGGGAACTAGTGAGCACCTCCTCCTAGCTTCTGCAGACCAGAAGGACAGACAGGGCTTAAATTAGAGCAGGAGGGATTTAGGGCAGACTTTTGGAGAATGTTTTCACTTATAATCATAAAGTGCACATGAGTATGTTATCGAAAAGGATTAGGCCTCTGTCCCACCACTGCCTTTAAGGCAAAGAGTAGTTCTTGGTTTTCAGTCCCAGCCACACTGGCGGTGGCCTCTGTTTTTAAAAATACTTCCTGTATACAAGGAAGCATAATTGCCATGCAGCATCCTATCTTCAGTGCCACTTGCGTTACCCCAGGGGCTTATCAACAGCAGCATCTGGAATCAGTCAGCAGTCAAGCAATCAGTCAGTATGGAAGGTTGCATTATACATGCAGCATTGTGGGAAGAGGAGTAAGATTATCAAGATAGAGCATCTCACAGATGATGAGGTCATTCACCAGAAAAACAGTAATAGCAACAAACGCAATGTACCTTCTGTTTGCCTGCCTTTTAATAGTTATTACCCAATCTAAGGCCACTGCTTTTAGTTTTACAGATTGTGTATAGAAATATATCCTCTAGAGCTGAGCAGTGGATAACCTGCCCCACCATTCATGGCAACCCTGTCACTCATAGAATATCATTTAAAGCTTTGCAGGTATAGAATTCCTTTTACATTTTAAACTGACTTCACATTCACTCGGTCCTCCTGACAGTTTTGTGAGATTGCAGGGTCCGTGTCGTTTCCCCCAGACTACAGATAAGGAAACCAAGTCCCAGAGAGAAGCTTGGACTGCTCTAGGTGGCTAGAAGAATAAGATTAGGAACCAGAGCTGGTAGTTCTTGATGCAGGGCCATTGCTGTCAGCCACACTCACTTAATCCAGGCTTTCAGGAACACATCTGGGGTGTAAGAGACAGGCTATTGGGGAGTCACTGGGAGCTGAGATAGGAGCTGAGTAAGGGCCTCCTGTACCCTCCTCACCCCTGCCCAGCCCCTCATGGTAGCTAGGTCCCCACTTTATGCCCCTCCTCTCTTCCCCTAGATTTGAGCGGGAGCAGAATGATACCTTCATCATGGAGATCCTGGACATCGCTCCATTCACTAAGATGCGGATCCGAATTGATGGCCTGGGCAGCCGGCCTGAGTGGTTCCTGGAGAGGGTAAAATGTCTTCCCTCCACCCTTTCGGCCCAGCCCTTCTTCCTGCTCTTCTGTGTTGTCAGTGGACCTGATTAAAGTGCAGATGTCACTTTAGAGGGTTATTACACGAGCCAGGCTCCCAGCAGGAACTGGGGCAGCAGAGGCTTTAATGGTGGGCACTTCAGGCAAGAAGGCAGGAAGCTTTCGGTTGCCCCTGTAATCGCACATTAGGTAGCTGCCTCTTTTTCCATCTTGGGCTCTGCTCTCCCCCACTCAGTCCTCTCCTCTCCCATCCACCAAAAGCTATCTGTTTTGAGTCCCCTCAGGCTCCTACGTCCCTGTTCTGCCATTAACAGATTTTCCTTGAACCAACAATATGGTGCCCACACCAAGGACAGTCTGGCAGACTTCAGGTGTTTATGGCTGACAGTGGTTTTGTTCGTCCGTTCTTCTGTGATTTGCTCTGCAAACGTTCCTTGTGCACAGTGATAGGTACCTCTCAGAAACACGTTTGGATTAATTCTCCATTTCCAAATTTCCAAACTAAGGTGGTCACAGTAGGGGCTTCGGACCCTGTGCAAGTCATACAGAGCAGGGTCTTTGTTTGGAGAGTCTAGGTCAAAAGAACTCATCTCAGGTCTGGAGTCGTGGGTCTTTGGGGTTCAGCCAAGGGGGATGCATTAGCAGGTGGGCAGCTGATGGAAGTGAGGGCAGGTGTTCCCACACTGGCTCCCTCACCCAGATCCTACTGAAGAACATGAATACTGGAGACCTGACCATGTTCTACTATGGAGACTGGCTGTCCCAGCGGAAGGGCAAGAAGACTCTGGTGTGTGAAATGTGCGCTGTCATCGATGGGGAGGAGATGATGGAGTGGACCTCCTACACTGTCTCAGTTAAGACCAGTGACATCCTGGGTGAGTCGGTGGGGCCCTCCCATCTCCCAGTCCCACATCCCACTACCCTTGCCCTTCCTCAAACTCGGGCCCAGGCCAGGGCACTTTTCTTTGGATGACCTTCCAAATGTTAGTCAACACAAGTCCTTTCCACCATATGTCACTGTCTGTCTGAACAAAGTAGTTCTCCCAGTTACTGAATTGGCTCTGTCCCCCATCCCCCAAGGCAGTCTGGGAGAACATGATGAGGCAGTGTGGTCAGAACTTTTGAAAGCTATGCAGGAGCTTAACTCAGAGGCCCTCTGTCTTCCTACTGCTGTCCCATGCCTCTCACGCAGATGCTGTGCATCTCAGAGGCCCTTGGGTTCCTTCCCACATCTGTGTGCTTGGCAGCCATCTTCTGTGTGCCAGCTTTAGGCCTTGGGTCTTAGGATGGAGATATGACCCTGGGCCCTTATGAATCTGACATTCTAGCACAGCCGTGACATGAAGCTCTGCCCAAGGTCTGCATAGGAGCTGGGGAACTCACAAGAGGGTGCCTTACCCGGTTGGGGATAAAGGGCAAGGGTCATGGAGGGCCTCCCAGAGGCAATGCCAAAGTCTAGTTCAGAAATACAGACAGAAGCCACTGAGGCAGATGGAACACCAGATGAAGGGTCTTACGAGCAAAAATACTAGTGTTTGCAAAGGCTTGAAGCTGAGAGGGAACACGCTCTTATGGAGGCAGTGTCTCCCGCCTACCCTTCTCTATATCAAACCTGCTCTCCAGGAGCTGTTGCGAGGAATATGGCAAACTCATTCACACTGATTATAAATGACTAGTGAGGGATGAGCCTGTTTGGTCCTAATAGCTTACATGTTCAACAGAGAAGCATTTAGCCAAAGAAATTAGGCTCTCCTGGTAGGATCTCAGGCACAAGTGATGGGTTATATAGCTGGTAAATCTGTTGGCACCTCCCTTCCTCCTTGCTCTTGACAGTGGAACCTTCACTCCTTTTGGTGGAAGTTCCAAGTGTCCACATGTTTTGCACCCTCCATCTCCTCATGATGTGTTCTCAGAAAATAGTTGATAAGTTCCTTAATAACCATAGGGGGTGTGTGTCAGGAAACTTTCATGGAGCCACCTCTTCCAGAAGCATCTCTTTTTTTTTTAACTAGGGTCAATACCTCTATTTGGCTTAAGCAGATGCTATGAAGCTCTAGTGTAGACTGTCAACCAAGCGTAGATCTGGGGAGCAAGGAACTTTCCTATTTCCCTCTGAACCCACATTGTGCAGGAAGGAGTCTGTATTTCTAAACCACAAAGCCAGTCTTCATGGCATACCTTTTAAGTATGGGTGCATTTCCCCCAGAAATAAATGAGTTCTTGCACTAAAACCACTCATACTTGCTAACCAGGACTCCAGTTAGCTCAACAGCATTTACAAGGTACAGAGATAGGACGAAGGATAGAATTGGAGACCCAAGGGTCCCAGGAAACTAACCAGCCCTTTCCAACCTCACCCGTGGCCTCGTCAACATTAAACTTCCCATCCGCACCACTGGTGCTTCCGAGGAAGCCAGGATGGAGACCTGGAGAGTAAGTGGGCTGTGCGTTGGAAAGGCTAGCAGCTAGAGCCTCTGTCTTTGCACCCCAGGAGCAGGCACCGATGCCAATGTGTTCATCATCATCTTTGGGGAGAATGGGGACAGTGGGACCCTGGCCCTGAAGCAGTCAGCCAATTGGAACAAGTTTGAACGGAACAACACGGACACGTTCAACTTCTCTGACATGCTGAGCCTGGGCCACCTCTGCAAGCTGAGGGTCTGGCATGACAACAAAGGTAACTCCTGCTCAAGGTCAGAGGTGGTGGGGATGGCAGGCCCCAGCTCTCCACCTGAGCCCTTTCCCGTCCCCCTGGCTGCATGTTGACCTTTTACTGCAGGGTGACAGGCAACTAAAAACTGTTGATTGTCACCATTTTTACACTTGCATCAGTTAGAAAATGTCCTATGTTTCTGGACAAATTTTAGAAATCAAGCTTCGTTCCTAACACCATTTTCTTGTTCATTGCTCTTCCCCTAATGCCTATCACATTGCCTGGACTATAGTAGGGACTTGATATAGTTTTAATGGAATTTATTTATAGCCATGTTTCACTCTCTCAGATCCATTTCTGGTTTGTTCATGCCTCAGTCACAGGAAACCCACATTTCTCTGGAAACAGAGTTTCCCCCATGCCTAATACTTCAAAAATTGAGTCCTGGCCATGAATCTCAGGATCATGATTAGGTCCTCTAATACCAGCTTCCCCACCTTTTCCCCAGCACTGACTGTGTACATATCTAGACTTGCTCATTTTTCTTGGTGCATTTTTCTTTTATGCCAAAACTTGACTGCCAATTATTTCGTATTTCCTCACAGTCAAAACCCTGAAAGAAAAGGGAGGCCCCTCAGCACCACGGACAGCTGCATACAGGTCCTACTGTATTGTTGGCTGCTGCTTACTGTGGTTTATTACATGCCATACTCTTCAAAAAGCTTGGTTCCTCTCTTGGTAACTCAAGACTATCTGATTGCCTTCTTCCTATAATGGCTCCTGGGCTTAAAGAAACCCAGAGGCACCAATATTATCCTCATTCCTTTGAAAGCAGAGAAGTGGGCCTCCTCGCCTCCAACCAGAATTTGGATCTGAAAGCAGGGAAAGGAAGATGTCTGTATCCTCACTGAACCCAAGTGGTTGGGATACTAGGGTCAGGAGAGGTACAGGGAAGTCCAGGTTCTGTGCTTAGCTTCCTCTTTATAGTAACTTTCTCCTCCATAGATGGAAGCTTAAATGTTAATATAAGCCAAGACAGCTAAATATGTCCTTAAGCGCTCTCTCTATGCCACATTTTTTCATATTTAGTTTAAAAATATTCAAGCTACATTATGCTTCCCTTGCATAGCAATTTATGAGGACAAAAATATTTCATTTGAGAGCCTTCCACCAAAAAAAGTTGTGGATCCCTGAACAGATACCATATAAGTTACAAACATTTAGTTAACTTAATAGTATGGCAGTTATCTCTTTCCTTGATTCTACCTTTCCATCTTTTCTGTTTATCCAGCAATTTTTTAATGAAAAGATTTAAGCCTGCACAAAAGTGAGGGAAATAGTATAATCAACTTCCACATACCCATCATGTAGATTCAACAGTTATGACTTGTCATACTTGCTTTTCTCTTTTCATTTTTTCTTTTTCTTTCTTGTTTTCTTTTTGGTTACTATGTTTCCCTTTTAAAAATGGACACTTCTATTTTTTTAACGTTTTTCCATCTCCAAGAGACAGAAGGAGACAGAGCATGAGCAGGGGAGGGGCATAGAGGGAGACACAGAATGCGAAGCAGGCCCCAGGCTCCAAGCCGCCAGCATGGAGCCTGACGCGGGGCTCGAACCCACAAGCCGTGAGTTCATGACCTGAGCTGAAATCAGCCACCAACCAACCAAGCCACTCAAGCGCCCCAAAAATGCACATTTCTAAATGAAATCCAGTGCCACTACACTTAAGCATGACTTCCTTGTGTCGTCCAGTTTCCACTCCGTATGCAAATTTCCTTAATATGAAAAATGTCTTTGTATTTTGATTTTGCTTGAATCTGGATGAAAATAAGGTCCACACACACTGCATTTATCTGTGACTTCCCCTTAGTATCTGTTAATGCAGAGCATGCTGACTCCCTTTATTTTTTTTCATGCTATTGGCTTGTCGAAGGAAGTGGGCCCAATGATCTGTAGCATGTCTCTATTCTGGACCTGCCTGTCTACTTCTTCATGGCGTCACCTCCTCTTTATTCCCCATATTTCATACAATCTGGAAGTCAGCTCTAAAGGCTTGCCTGGATTCAGGTTCAACTTTCTTTGGCAAGAATACTTTATAGGTGATATCAGGACTTCTTTACAATGGGAATCGTGTATTTCACATTACACCACAGCAGCTCTACTCTTCCTGATTCTCCCATCCAACAGTGGGTGCAGGGACTGTCAGCCTGGTTACCCCAACCACCGCCCCCCACCACCAGTCCCATAACTCTTCATCTAATGGCTTCATCCAGTAATGATCAATTAGGATTACGAATGGTGATTTTCTAATTGTCCTTTCTTATCCACTTACTAGCTAGAATGCTTTTGTAAAAAAAAATAAATAAAATATAATTTTACAAGAGGAGACTGTTTAAGAAGCAGACTCGCTCATAATAGGTTTCAGATGACTCGCTGTGGATCCCCAGGGTCTCCACTCTCAGGCTAGTGCTGGCCACACAGTTAGCCAAGCTGTAACTGTGGGTTTGTCTTCACTAGTGAAAGCCAACCATGTGATATCAGCCTTCCCAGAGCTACCTGTTCCCAGCTACATGTTTGATAAGTTCTTCGTGGAGCTAGTTGTGGTAGGATCCCTGTCAATCACATCCAATATTTTCAAAACAAGACAACTAAATCAGCAATGAAAAAAATGCTGAGGGTGAAGTGTGCTTCATCTTAAAGGAGTTAGAGTTTTTACCATGGTATTTACCATGAAAGGAACGGTTTGTTTATTTTCATAGAATTCTAACTTGAGAAAAGAATTTGGGATGGGTGAGGCGATGCCATGCTTTCAGAGGACAAGGTGAAGGGAAGTGCAGTGGGTTGGGAAGCAACCTGCCACCAAGCACCAGGGCAACATGGGCCAGGAAGAGTCCTTCTCTGGTTGTCCATGGATAGAGTTAAAGCCAGCCCAGAATCCACCCTTCCCTTCAGCCGATGGCTTTCCTCTGTCACCACCTTGCTTGGAATCCAGGAGATGAAATTCAGGAGTGAAACCTACCTGGGGTGTAAGGCAAGATGAATAGTGTGTTCCAGCAACAGAAATGATCTCATGATGACCCACCTCTCCAATGAATGCCATCCCTCTCCACCAACACTCATGCATACACACACACTCACACACTTATAATTCCCATTGACTCCCACTGGTCATTTTGTCATGATGTGATATGATAGAAAGACCATCATCCTGGAGTCAGAAGAGATGGCATTAAGCCAGTGATTCTCAGGGTGTGGCTCTGGGACCAGCAGCATCAGCATGACTGGAGAACTAGTTAGGGATGGAAATTCTTGGACCTCACCACAAACCCAGTCAATCGGAGTCTCTGGGAGAGGGGGGCCTCAGTAATCTATTTCCACAAGCCTTCCAGGTGATTGCACTGCAGGTGCTAGTTCTCAGCCTTGGATACACATTGAAATCACTGGGCAGCTTTAAGGACTATTGATACCTCGGTCCTACTCCAGAGATTCTACTGTAGGTGATTTGGGTAAGGCCTGGATAGTAGAATCAGCCTCTCTCTCTCTCTCTCTCTCTCTTTCTCACACACACGCCTTCCAAAAGGACCAACATTTTGGCTTCTCATTCTCTGCCTTCCTTTTTACTTGCCTCACCCTTTCTCTGTTCCACTCTGGAATCCTGTAAGAGCCACTCCAGCAGGTCTTATGGACATCATTTCCAGACTGAACACATTGGGGATTATTAAGCAGGTTAATTAGTTTCATGATATTATCAGGAATCATCTCAGAAAGCAACCAATTTATAACCTTATGGGCGGAACTGGCCCTAGTGTAGAAAAGTAAAACGATTATTGAGATTTTTTTAAAAGTTTATTGATAACGTAACTCACCACTCTTTTAACTCAACAGAAGTGTTTTAAATTTTAGCATAATTGTTTTAGCACTCATTGTTTTCCACTTCAGTTGAGATTCACATTTAAAAAAATATATGAAGTACTTTTTAAACCCAGAATTGAAGTATCCTAGGACTGCCAATATGCATGCCCTGCCCAGAGCCTCCACATCTGTCACCCACCCCAGAAGTCCCGTGACTGAAGTGTGTGCCCATCTTTCTGTGTCTTTGTGCTTGTAAGACCTTAATGCTTTTGGATCTACAGATGTTGCTGTCAGCAGATGTTGCCGTGGGCAGTGTCCAGTCCTAGAGAATGGCTTTTTGGTGCGGACATTGGAGTGGTCCCCACACCCCCTGGTGACCTTAGAGGGCCAGACATTAGAGTAGAGCACATACAAGCCTTCCTTGTGAGGTTGCCTTGTGAACATACGTTGAGCAGCACGTATCATCACCATAACCTGTCACACCACTGGATTTCCCCCCACTGGTGGCAGGTGCTTTGGCTCTCAGAGTGCTCAGGGACTTGGAAGGGTGGAGAGTAACTGAACTGGTGCATGGTACAAATAATACGCAGCTGCCACAGCAAATGCACACGGACTTATACTTGATGGCTGTGATCTGGGGGGAACACTTTTGAAGGACGCCCTGCCAGTTAGAACAGAAGTAGCTGTATGTTCAATATTAGGCCAAGACCTTTCAAGTTTCACATATACCCTGACGAAATAGCAGCTTCTTATTCATTCTGTAACTGCCGAACAGCCAAGGTCCTCAAAGTCCTAACATACACATTCAGCATCCACTGAGCAGGTACTACCTGCCAGTCGATATGCAAGTCATTAGGGAAACAAAAACAAGTAAGACCAGGTCCCTGTCCCCAGAAGCTCGTGGTCAGGAGAGGAGACACATGTAAACAGTGATGACACAGGGTGGTCAGGATGTGGCCAAGGCAGGTGCAGGGAGCTATAGGAGCAAGGAGGACATCAGATACAGGCCTCCTGAGCAATCAGGGGACACCAGGGAAGGCTCCCCAGAGGAAGTGATGCCTGCAGTGATTCTGAAAGGCTAATGGGCATGAACTAAGTGGATACTGGCGTCAGGAAGCAATAGGATTCATCGTTCAGCTGTGTGAACTCCCAGGAAGTCAGTGACCCCACTGTGAATCTGACGAAGGCCATGAGCCCTCTCCCTGGTGAATGTGGAATTATGTATAGCACAATTTCTCAGGGCCCTTAGACTGCTTCATGCCCATATGCAAATCCTCCAAGGGCCCATGAACCCCAGGTTAAGGATTTTGCAAAGAGAATTATATGCTCGGGGCTAGAGGAGCCCTCAGAGATCGTCTAACCCACCTCCTCATTTTGTTAACAAGGAAACCAAGGCCCAGAGAAGACAGAGAACTTGTGCGGGGCCACACGGCCAGTGGGCTGGGGGTAGCAGAAAGGTGAAAGCGCATTCATCTCCCAATCCCCATCACGTATTTTCCCCAGGGATCTTTCCTGGCTGGCACGTGAGCTACATCGACGTGAAGGACAACTCGCGTGATGAGACCTTCCGCTTCCAATGTGACTGCTGGCTCTCCAGGAGTGAGGGTGACAGGCAGACGCTCCGCGACTTTGCCTGTGCCAACAACGAGATCCGTGATGAGCTGGAGGAGACCAGTACGTGGCGGGGTGGGTGGGGGTGGGCACCCAGGTGTGATTCCTGGGCTGAAGCTTCAGAGTTAAATGCGAGGTAGCTCAGGACGGGATGGAAATGGTGTTGGTAAGTCTGAAGGAGAGACCCTTATAGCTGGAGGGGAATCAGACGTGCAGTGAAGGAAAGAGTCTTGGGAAGGTACATAAATAAACACCCTAAATGTTACTCGGTGAACTTGGAACAGCCAGGACACTGCTACCAAATCTTGGCCCCAATCACGGGGATTAATTAGGTAGCAGGAAAAACACTGGGGACAAGCTTACCCTGTCCCGAGGGCCAGGCGGGGCACTTTGGTGGGAAGCCTTCTCTGGGTTGTTTTTATATCATGGGCTCCATACAATTGGCACCTGTGGCCACAGCTGACAGATCAAGACTTCTGGAAACAGAATTTGCAGGGGGAGCCAGCATCCCCATCGGCCACTTTCTTTGATCCTTCCTCAGGTGATATTTAAAAGGAAAGAGTTTAAATTGATCCCTAAAGTGGCTGGCCATCCAGGACTGGGGAGTTGTTTCTTTAATACAGATGCCGGGGTCTGGGTCCAACAGATTCAAAGAAACCTTATCAAAGGCAGAGCCTGGTGTAAAGAAAGGATTTTTTATCCTTAGTTTTTAAGGGAACACTAACTGCAGTAAGGGGTGAACCCTCAAATCTCAATGGCTTAACAAACCAAAATGTATTTCTCACTCATGTGATAAACCATACAGTGTGGTTGTTGGCAGGAGACCTTCCACGCTGTGATTGGGGGACCCAAGCTCTTTTGATCTGTGTCTCTGCCATTTTCAACATTCTGGGAATGTGGACTCCCAGCTTCTGTAAACCACACTCAGCTGAGGAATTACTGGGTGCCCAGTTTCATTGTAGATGCTGTGAGTGGCACACACCACTTTGTGACCTCCAGTTTGTGTTGACCTTTGCACATGGTAAGTCTCCCTGTACAATTATAAGCTCCCAGAGGTCAGGGACAGAGTCGCTCATTGTTGTAGCCTTCTGCAGCTCTGTAGGCTTTGGGACTTGGTGTGCTGTCACCGCTCAGGGGATGGAAGAAGAGGCGGCCCTTTTCCTTGGAGCCTCATAATCCCCTTAGAGGGAGACGCTGAAGCCCCTTACGCGGTAGGAATGCTTAAGCCCCTGACCCACGTGCCCACATAAGCGCTAGAGGCTCCTCGGGCCACTGGCGTCCAGGGGAGGAGAGATTCGTGATGCTCAGAGCATAATCACTGCGTCTCCTTCACAGATTTCCTGCCAAACAGCTGCTAAGACCTGCGAGGGTTGAGTTGGCAGGGAGATTGCAGAGGGGAGGCGGCACTTGCGTTAGTTCCGGAAGGATGTTACAGACTGGAGATTGGACGGCAAGGGCACGGAGCCCGGGAGCCGGCCTGGATGACTGGTCTTTACTGAGAGGCTGTGGAGGGCAGAGGGGCACCCTCTAGGAGTCCATAGAGGGACAGACGGCCACACCTGTGTCCTCAGATTGGAGGGTCATCCTGGGGAGAGCCACGGACACAGCCGGAGCCGAACATCCCAATCCTCAGCTACCTTTATTTAACCATTTGGCAAAGATTTACTGAGCACCTACTAAGTGCCACAGCCTATTCTGAGTTCTGGGACACACCAGTGGATAAAAAAAAGACCCTGCCCTTGTGGCACTTACTCTCAGTGTCTGTGACCCCTGGGGCGCCTCTGAGCACTCAGCTTGTGAGAACAACACCCTCTCATACTCAAACAGCTTCATATGTGCAAAGCACTCTACACCTCTGTTCTCATTAGATCCTCACAGTCCTACTCCCACCCCGTGAGCTAGATAGGGTACAAATTCACACCTCTATCCCATGGGTAAGGAAAACAAAAACCCAGAAAGGCGAAGTGACACATCTAAGGCCCATTCACAGCTGGTACAACCCAGGTGACCTGATTCTTAGACCGGGGCTCGCTGCACCGCTGCTGGCTGCTTTGTCTTTATTGGGCCTGGCTGCTACTCCAGATAGGTCGATTGCCCCACCTGCCTCGGCCCCCTGTTCCCTACCTTCACCTCCAACTCCTGTTAGCAGCTCCAGAAGCTGCTCCCAGCCCTCTTCAAGCACCTGCCTCTACAGATGACTCCAATGCGCAGCAGAGCTGAAAGCCATTGGCAGCCTTTAAATAACACTGACATCTGGGTCCTACTCCCAAATTCTGTTGCGATTAATCCGGAGTAAGGCTGGGCAATAGGATTACCTGCTCATGCGTGCACACACACATGCATGCACACTTGCACATGTGCCCACATGGTCACGCTCACGCGCGTGCACACATACACCCTTGGGAGGACAAAATAGATCTGTCTCGCTGGGACGTCCTCCAGCAGGACCGGTGCTTCCCTCTTTACAGCCCTTCCCCTCCCTGTTCTCCCTCCCTTGACACCTTTAGGGCTGCTCAGTCAGCCTTCTCTGCAACATTTCCAGACCAAATATAGTCCATTTTGATGGCCAGCTCCCCAGGGGTGGGGGACTTCACCGCATCACCGGGCAGCTCTAGAAGATGCTGGAAAACCCATCTTTATACTCACGTTCTTGAAGCTTCCATTCTTTGGCAGTCCCAGTGGAGTCAAACAGAAAATTTCAGGAGTGGCCAGGACTCGTGGCTGTGTGCGCCTGAACCCCAGACCTAAGCTGGCTCCAGCAGAGAGGAAGCGTGTTGCTTCCCAGAACTCCAAGGCTCGGGCGGAGCTGGTTTCCACTTGGCTGTCTCCAGAGGCTCCAGTCATTTCAGTACATCCCCGTCTCCCCTTTCGTCTCAGCTCTGCTTCTTCCTGTGCATCGTGGGAAGACGGCCACTGGGAGCCCCAGCCCCACAGCCTTCTTAACAGCCTCAGTGGAAGGGGAGAGTGTCTCCCACGGGAAGATTCTGGCTGGCCATGCAAGCCACACTGCAGGAGCTCCTTAGAGTGGAGACACTCCTGACACTGTGAGGTGGGCAAGGTGATCTGGAGCAGGAAGTTCCGGAAGCCCACTGCCGTCCTGCTGGCACTCCACAGCGTCATGTGCCCCTGCAGTTCTTGCCTCGGGACGAACACCTGTTTATCCAGTACCTGCCCACATGATGGGGGGGGCCCTCAACTATTTGCTCATCTCCCTCTGCAGATGCCATGCCCAGAGCAAGATTTCAAGGGTGGTCTGCTCTCCTCTCTCCTGTCTTGCCACTTGAACTACACTCATGCCCCAAGAGCCTGTGGTGGCTTTGCTGGCAGCCCCTTAGTGCTGGTGCCTCACACGATGGCTGCTGAGCCCCTCTCTCCAGCTGAGCTTGTCCTGTGGGTGTGCTGGCCCCACGGATGACCTTACACTGATCCCCACTAGCCTGGGCTCCCCACTGCCCCCATTCTTTCAGGTCCCTAATGCTCCTCTGTCCGTTTCCCCCCAGCAACATAGACACAAAGTTGAGAATCACGCCGTCCACATTTGTATCAAGCTGTCGATGAAATACTGGGAAAGGGGGCAAGGTGAACTACGCTCATTGAAACTTCTTCTCCTCAAAAGACGGCAGATGCCCCTGGCAACATTTGTTCCTAATCTCTCTAAACGTCTTTGCTGATGTACTTTAACCCAGGACCATCAGGGAAGAATGGTCTGTTTGCACCCCATCTGCATTTTTTCTCAAATCTCAGACTTGAGTTCACCTAGTGAGCCCATGGGTTCCTAGCGCCCCTGCTTCCTCCCCCAGGCGCTGACAAACCACGTCCTCAACAAAGCCCAGGACCCACTTTGAACTCACGGGTATTGGGTTTGCAGAACTCACCCCACCCTCTGTGGGGAAAGCGGACCGGCCGTGAGACCTGACCGTGGCTCGGCCATCGGTCGGCCCCAGCCTCCTGGGCTGGGGTCTATATGGACCCACAGAGCCCCACCTTCTTCAGGAGTTCTGTGCTGTCCGTGGCTTTCCTGCCCTCTCGTCGGCGACCTGCCTCTTTGTCAGAATTGCTTCCACGCGTCTCAGCAGCACGCACTGTCCTGGAGAGAAGCCGCCAGGGCAGAAGGGCTAGCGATACACTGAGCTACAGACACAGAGGCGCCTCGTCTCCGTTGTCTGTATCACGTCCCTGGGAGAGCCGGGCGGAAAGAGCTGTCCTGTGCATCCAGAGTCCCAACCCCTCAACGAGTCCTTTACTGTGGCAAGAGCCATATGCACAGGGGACACTCTGACCGACATTGGTTGTGTCCCGTGTGCCAGCTCTGAGTCTGGCCTGGTCCCTTGGGAGTGGGAGCCGGGTCCCGTGAACTCCCATCCCCTCCCCCCCTCAGTCTTTGCCTGCGCTCCTCCCTCTGCCTAGAACCTCCTTTCATCTTCCGCAGACGGGAATCCTGGCTCCGTCTTCAAGCACAAGGGACCTCCTTCCTGAAGCTTCCTGTGGCCCAACCATTCATTCATTCACTCCACAAATACTTACTGAGTTCCTGCATGCCAGGCACTGTTCTGGGCACTTGGGATCTATCAGTGAGCAAAACGAAGTCCCCTGCCCCCCTGGAGCTCACATTCAGGTGGGAGGGGAGTACAGGAAACAATAACATAAGCAGCAAACCACATAGCCTGTTAGGAGGTAGCAGGTGATAAAGAGAATGTCATGGAGCCCCTTAAGGCCACCTGGGGGCGCTGGGGGCAGGCGAGTTGCCATCTTAGGGTGGGTGGGGTGATCTCCACGAGCAAAGTGTGTGGATAGGGCTCACGGCTCTCCTGGAGTCTGGACTGCCTGTAGCTTCCCCCTCACTTCTCCCTCTCTGCCCTCTTTCTGCACAGGATCTCCGTTTTGCATCTCGGGGTGGGGTGGGGGTTGCTGTCCATCCCTGAGATCCAGCCCCAGCACCTGTCCCAAAAAACTCCCCACCCCCTGCTTCCTGGTGTTTCACTCCCAGCGGCTCCATGGTCACCAGGCAGAGTGGCTGCTCTATAAATAAAAGACATGCTTATGGTGGCCAGACTGGGGCAGGTTTTTGTGGTAGTGCCTCCTTGTGGGGACTCCAGCCTATCCCCAGGCTGTGGTCTAAGATCAGATGGAGGACAGAGAAGCTGCTTCCCCCAGCTGACCTTCTCCCACCTTCTCCGCTGCAGCCTACGAGATCGTCATAGAAACAGGCAACGGAGGCGAAACCAGGGAGAACGTCTGGCTCATCCTGGAGGGCAGGAAGAACCGATCCAAAGAGTTTCTCGTGGAAAATTCTTCCCGACAGCGGGCCTTTAGGAAGTAGGAAGAGGGGGTTCCCACTGGGGAGTGAGGGGGGTAGGGTGGGTAAGAGAGGGACCCCCCAAATCAACCCCCTTGGTGGGTGCCCTAAGTATGCAAATGGGCCTAAACTGCAAGCACTTAATTGAGTACCTACTTTGTGCCAATCCTATGCGAACTCCTACGGATGGATGAAACAGGAGATTTATAAAAGGGAAAGGGGGAGATTGCCACGCAAAGAGAGGCCAGTATAAGAGAGGAGAATTTAATTATTCCAACCACTAAAAGGAGAGGATAATTCTGTAACCAGAGGTGCCAATATCACCACCGTGGCAATCCTACTACAATATATCAATATATTAAAGTAGCACATTGTACACCTTACATTTACACGGGTTTGTGTCAAATATATTTCAGTTTTAAAAAGTTAATGGACAGCTACAGCAAACATTAGTAATTAATTAATTAAAGAGAGCCCGCTGTGCGGCAGGACCAGGAATCATTGCGGACCCCATCCAAGTCCGTGCAGACCTCACAGTCTAGTCTGCAAGGGAGCCGTGTAAGACAGCACAGACTAAGTTCTACTTAGGAGGAGGAAGGGAGGAGAGAGCCTCTTAGATGCTTTGTAGGAAAATCAAAATCGGGTCTCGGGAAAAGGTGCTTCTCACCCCTCCTGGTTGACAGGCACAGCCGGGAAACCTCAACTTCTCCTCCACACCAGAGCCACCCCTGAACTGCCCAGATGCCCACTTCATTTCCCCGCTCCCCCAGAACTGCTTACAGAAGTCTCCCCCTCCTGTGACCCACTGCACCTTGCATTTGAACTCCCTCTGCATCAGGATGAAGTATGAGCTCCTTAGACTGGCACCCGCAGACCACCACAGATGGCCGCACCCCACCTTTTCCATGGCGGCTTCCCTGACTGGACCCCAACTGCAGCCGAGCCAACACGCCCCCCACAGATGCCTCCTTGCCCTCAGTCCTCATCCCATGACTTCGACAAGTCCACCTCAGGGGCCTCTTCCCTCCCTCCCTTTGCTGTGCTCTCTGAATCCCCACCACCCTCCCCAGCCTAACCCTCAGGGCCTCGCCCTCCTCCCACCTCTGTCTGCTTCGTGATGTTACCACCCCCTCCTGCTGGGACCAGGCTGTGGTTGTCTTGTTCCAGAATGACACTGAACCCCTCCAAGAATGCAGGGCTGGCATCAGGTCATGGTTGCCATTCTATCCCTCCTCCTTAGACCAGTGCCTGGAATGCAGTAGGCTTTCAATAAAGGCTCACTTCCTACAGCGGACATCGGCATCTCTTATTAGAGGCCATGCTTTTGTGTCCTGCAGGGGGACCACGGACACGTTCGAGTTTGACAGCGTCTACTTGGGGGACATTGCCTCCCTCTGCGTGGGCCATCTCGCCAGGGAGGACCGGTTCATCCCCAAGAGAGAGCTGGTCTGGCACGTCAAGACCATCACCATCACCGAGATGGAGTACGGCAACGTGTATGTACCGTGCCTCCACCGCTCCCCCCGGAAGGGCTGCTCTCTCCGCACAGAGGGACGGGGCTAGACCACGGGCAAGACGCCAGGACCCAGGGAGCTGTCCCCTTCGAGGCCACCTCGTTCAGGAAACTTACGAGATAGGGAGGGAAAGGCAGCCGTACTGTTTTGGAGCTTTCTGAGCCATAGGCCTACCCTCAGAGGCAGGGACTCGGCCAGATGAATCTGAGGGCTCCAGCCCTTTAATCCAGGGACGCTTCCTTGGAAGAAGTAAGCCAAACAAGACCAGACAGCGGACGCTTCCCTTCCCTCCCCCTCCCATCACTGTGCGATGACAAAGAAATACAGCTTTGAAGCCTGATGCTTCCACTGGCACAGTGAAAGCCCTGCCATCCTTGTGGGCAGAGTGGGGATCCGAGCCCAACTGGAGTAATCCCATGGCCCACCTGCCTCTGAGGACCCCGGATAAGGAGCTTTGCATTTCCCCCACCGGGGCCTTCTGGAGACTCAGGCATTTCTGAAGGATTAAGGGTTTTAGTTACCTGGGTAACAGTCCACAGCCATCAGTTTTTCTAATTAAAACCACTTGGTTACCACATTGGATGCCAGAAAGAGCCCCGAGGCCCTGGAAGGCAGGAACAGCAGTGTGAAGGCACCGGGAGAGGAGGAAGGGGAAGCCGAGGGCAGTGCTTGCCTCTGGGAGGCTAGACCCGAGGAGTGAGTGACAGGTGACACGTGCAGCTCCCGGGGCCAGCCTGCCACTGCTCGCTGGGTCACCCCCCAGAGCTGCTGCCACCCGCTCCCCGAGCTGGCCCTGCCCCTGGCGACGCCTTCACGGTGAGCACAGCAGACCGGTGCAGGCTCAACCGGGGCAGCGCCCTCGGCTGCCCTCTCTGGCCTCAGGAGCTCAAGTCGCTCAAAACAGTGTCTGTCCACGCTCCACCTGTGACAGTAGGCTCCCTGGGATGCCAAGCTTCCCCTTTGGGAATCGGTCAGGAAGCGTCCTGACTTGTAAACTTCTGTCTTGACCAACTCAGGCTGCCGTATCAAAATGCCACAGACAGGGTGTCTCCAATAGCAGACCTCTTTTTCTCGCAGTTTTGGAGGCTGGAAGTCAGAGGTCAGGGAACCAGCATGGTTGGGTGCTGGTGAGGCCTTTCTCCCTGGCTTGCCGCATCGTCATGGCAGAGAGAGAGAGAGAGAGAGAGAGAGTGTTATCCATTGCTCTTTTAGTGAAAAACCAGCCGGTTACAGTAAATCCTGCCAGACTTGCTGGTCCTGGCTGCCTGGAGCGATTACTGATGGAGACTTGAGAGCTGAGACATAGAGGCCCAGAGGAGTTACCAACTCACCCAGCAAGCCGGGCCCAGGGCAGAGCCCCTTCTGCAACCCAGCACTAGTGGCCTGCCGATCACATCGAGTATTGCTACCGATACCACACCTCTGCAAGCCCCACCCCCCAAAAAAACCAAAGGGTACAAGAAAATACAATATAATACAGTGCAACACTATGCAATAATAAGAAATAGTCTTCCCTCGAGTTAGCTTTAAACCAGCCATGGTGGCTGTAAGAAAGACACAGAGCCAAAAATCTCAGCACCACTAAGCACCTTCCAGTCTCAGAAGGAAGGGGAAATACAAGCTCAGCCCGGGAGCTTCCTACCCCACAGTCCTGGGGCCGAATTGTAGAATTTCTCATCCAGGGAAAGAAACCACCATTCCCACACCCTCAAAAGAGGGTGGCCTTTTGTCAGTATGTCACTAGGCCTGGAGGGGGAGGAAGGGATGTCCGTGGAGTGGGGGCTCTGCCCAAAGGGAAGGGGGTGCAGAGAGTCCAGACCCCGAATACTAGAACTGTCACCAAGTCAGCTGTGTGGCCTCAGGAGGTAACCCGTCACCTCTCTGTGCTGTCTCCCTCCGGGAAGAGAGCTGGATGTTCACTGGAGTCTGGCGCTGGGGGAAGGACGACAGGGGTCCAGCTCAGGGAGCTCTCGGAGGTCATAGTGCACCGGCCTGTGCAGGTCTCGAGCTTGGTTCCTTCCTGATGGATGGCATACATGCGTCCACAGTTCCTTTCCAGCCACCACATTAACCGTACCGTTCGGACTTCCAGGAGTTACAAATGAATTTAATCTCACTCTCCTGTAAACACAGGAGTCTCCAGTTTTCATCTTTCAGCCGGTTCCAGTGGTGACTCCTCCTTAGGGTGGGCCGTAACTTCTAAGGTTCTCCTTTGCACTGAGATCCTCCGGATTCAATGGAAGGCCACACCCAGGGGCTTTTGTTTCTTTCTTTCTTTCTTTTTTTAACCAAATATAACTTCATTGTTTTATCTCAATACCATATATAATACCCAGCCATTATAAAAATTCAAATAATACAAATCGTCTTTTAAGTAAAACTTCCTGAAAGCCCTACCCATCAGAGACAGCCACCATATGAGTGTTTGGTGACCCCGCTCTCTCTGACACTTTTCTAACATCTCACAAACGCTGTTCACAGAAGTGTGATCCTATTTACATGTTTTTCAAATATATTTAATTTTTCATTTGTTATTTTTTACTTTTGTCATTAGTCTTTCTGATGTCCCTACCCTCCTCTCCAGTGGATCCGCACCTAGAGTCATGACCCCACGGAGCCCTAGGGTCCCACATCTTGGTGATCTTATATGTATGAGAAATGTTTTCCTTATGGGTCTACTAGGGAATATTTTTCAGCCATTAAAAATAATGAATTAAATATGTACCAGATGACTTGGAGCGATTCCCGGGAAAAGCAAGATATGGGAAAACACATATTATATGATGCCATTTTGTAAAGGGAACACTGACATCCTACATATGTCTGTGTCTGTGTGGGTCTGTGCATGGTTGGGTGAAATGGAAGGAAATCTGGCAAGATACACCCGCAACTGTTCCATGGGTTATCTGAGGTAAAGGTGGGATGTGGAAGTGGAAAGGAAGGAGGGAAAAAGGAGAGAGAGCCAAGCGAAAAGGGGAAGAAGAAGAGTGTATTTAGAAAAACACGCATGTGATCACATGATTTGTGCATTTATAGAGAATTATGTATATCAGTCAGCATTTGCATAAAGAAATACATTTTTAAAGAACGTCTAAACAAAGATTGAAGTTATATCCCCCTCCGAGAAAGTGTGGTATGTAACAACAATCCGAATTTATCAAGTGATGAACTGGGGGAAGAGAGATCTCGAAACAGAATATGGATTTCCTGCCAGTGTCTTTCCGTGGCTGTCTCCTCAGGTGGCGAGGCAGGCTGGCTCTGGGCCCGCTCTGGCTCATCTTGGGCAGTGACTTAGTTTCCCCTTCTGTGAAATGGGAGGATGATGCCTGAAGCTCCGGGTTGTCATGGGAGCCGACGAGATGCAAGGGTGCAAAGCCCCGGTCGGCACTGAGGAAGCAAGCAGAAAATCCTGCTTTTTTTGCGGTTATGGATTTTCATCTAAAACGGGTCTGACTTTGCACCACTGGGCACGCCCTTTTAGGGATGCATTCCTGAAGTCACCAGTCAGTGCCAGGACGGCTTATTTCCAAAGCTGTTATAATATCAGCAGTTGGGAGTGGGAAGAAACCGTAGCAGTTGTTCAGTTCAAACCTCTAGCATTGCCTATGGGAAAATCAAGGTCTGGGTAGGAGACGCGGCTTGCCCAAGGTCACAAGAGTAGCAGGTGGCAGGGCTGGAGTAGACCCGAGGCCCCCTTGCACTCCAGGCAGCATTTTCCCACTGTGCCTCCTGACTTCCTCCTTGTAATCAATTATTAGACTAACTACCATTACGCAGAGGGTAAAATTGAGGGTGTGGAGGGTGGGGATAGAGAGGGGACATTTTGGTCCAAGACCATGACTCTTGGCCCTGTACTTGCTTCTGCTTATGGCACTGCTTCAGTAGAGGATTTTCTCTTACCCCTTGCACCCCTCAGACCATGAGCACGTGCATGTACGTGTTTTCACGCACACACTCATACTTTAACTCAGCCCAGCGCGAGGGATTTGGGACGTTTCCCACTTGGCTTTGCCTGGATCCCGCAGCTGTCCCTGAAGGTGAGAATACCAGGTACAAACATTCATCAGTCCCTTTGAAAGAGCAAGGGGACCAGCACGGTTGGCACGGAGTGAGCTTAGTTAGACAAGGCCAGGTGCTCGGTCAGAAAGGCAAACGGCAGGCAGAGGGTCCAACCACATAGGGTCTTGCAGCCCTTGGTAAGGTGGTGATTTTTACTTAATCTAAGAAGCCATTGGAAGGTTCTGAACAGAGGAATTACATTCTTGGACTTACATGTCCACGGGGTCACTTGGCTGCTGTGGAAAGAATGGACCACAGATAGCAGAAGCAGGGAGACCAGCTAGGAGGCCGATCTAGGAGGGAGGAGGTGGTGGTGACTTGGACCAGACGAGGGGCAGGACAGATAGTGAAATACTGCATACTTTTTCAAGTGGCTGATTCTGGACCTATTTTAAAGATGGGATTTGCTGGTAGATTTGATGTGGAGTTGGGGGGGGGGGGATGGAAACGAAAGAATCAAAGAGACACTGGAAGGGTAGAGATGCCTCTCGCCGTGGATTTTAACACAAACAAGACCCATCCTCATATTTTTTTATTTTTTTTATTTTTTTTAATGTTTATTTATTTTTGAGACAGGGAGAGACAGAGCATGAACAGGGGAGGGTCAGAGAGAGGGAGACACAGAATCTGAAGCAGGCTCCAGGCTCAGAGCCCGATGCAGGGCTAGAACTCACGGACCCAGAGATCATGACCTGAGCCGAAGTTGGCCGCTTAACGGACTGAACCACCCAGGCGCCCCCCCCATCCTCATATTTTAATGCAGACATTTCCGATCCCATCTCCTGCCACCTGAGGAAGGGATCATTCATGGCCCAGGGGGCCCGGGGGGAGGGTGAGAGCCTTGGCTGGTATCGACTGAGCCTCCTCTGTCCCTGCTAGGTACTTCTTCAACTGTGACTGCCTCATCCCCCTCAAGAGGAAGAGGAAGTACTTCAAGGTGTTCGAGGTCACCAAGACGACCGAGAGCTTTGCCAGCAAGGTCCAGAGCCTGGTGCCGGTCAAGTACGAGGTCATCGTGACGACGGGCTACGAGCCGGGTGCAGGCACCGACGCCAATGTCTTCGTGACCATCTTCGGGGCCAACGGGGACACGGGCAAGCGGGAGCTGAAGCAGAAAATGCGTAACCTCTTCGAGCGGGGCAGCACCGACCGCTTCTTCCTGGAGACGCTAGAGCTGGGCGAGCTGCGCAAGGTGCGGGTGGAGCACGACAGCAGCGGCTACTACTCGGGCTGGCTGGTGGAGAAGGTGGAAGTCACCAACACCAGCACCGGAGTGGCCACCATCTTTAACTGCGGCCGGTGGCTGGACAAGAAGCGAGGCGACAGGCTCACCTGGAGAGACCTCTTCCCTTCCGTCTGAGGGGCCGGAGGCTCTCGATCCCACCGTCTCGCCGAGATGCTCCTGACCACAGCCCGCTGCCTCCACCTTGGCTTTCAGCAGGCCTTTCTCAGAGCCTCCTGGGACCGGGACTGGGCGCCAGAAGGGTGGCATGGGTGGCACGGTGGCCCGGAACTTCACGGTTCTCCGGAGGCCGCTGCAGGGGATTTCTTGTGGGCCCCGCCCCTCCTCAGTCCCCTGGACCTACAGGAACCGATCACCGCGTGTCGGAATCCCTGGCTGCACAAAAATAACTTTCTGCGCTTTCTTTTCCAGTGACAGCAGTGGCCAGGCTGAGACTTGCCAAGTGTAGATGGGAAACTGGGGCTTCACCCAGGGGATAGAAGTGGGGAAGAGGAGGCCGTCGAGGTGGTGTATTTGAAGAGAAAACTAATTAACACGTTTTTCCCCCCAAAGCTGGGCTAATTAAATTTTTTACTGACCACACCCCACGAAGAACTCATCTTGGCATCTGCTCACGAAGAAATGCATCCTTTCCCCCAGTTTCAATGACTCCAGTGGCAAACAGAGAAAAGCAGCAGGAGGAAGTGTTTTAGCCCTGGCGGGGGGTGGTTTATAAGCCTGCAAAAAGGTATGTGATTCTGTCCATCATTTACGGGAAACTCTGTGCCAGGTGCCCACTGGTTGTTCTAACCTGTGAGAACACAGTTGAGACCCACAGACCTGAACAGAAGGTGATGGGGCTGGGGGGGGGGGGGACAGAGAGGGACACAAAATAAAGGTGCAGTCTCTGCCCTCCAAGGGATATGACCTTGATGACGAGGCTGCAGGAGAAACACACACACACACACACACCCTCCCTCGTGGACAGTCACGAAGGGATCTGCAATGCAAGATCCTTGCAAGGCAGCAAGAGCGCCTCAGGTCTCAGCACCTGACTTCTGATTTTCCTGCCGAAGCAGGACTGAGTGGAAAGGAAGTCTTCCTATAGGAGGGCACCCCCCCACCCCCATCACCCTGTGTCCTGTAGCCCAGACAGGTGTAAACTCTTATCGAGGCTGATGGGTCTAAAGCAAGTTCCAGGAGCTCCCAGAGACCCTTGGAGAAAGGCTGAGTTTGCAAGCGCTGGCTCAGAGGCAGCCAGAGAGCTTGGGCGAGCTTGGGCACATTATTTCATCTCCTGGGGCCTCAGTTTCCTCACTTGTCCAACAGGGACAATGATAGTAGCTACTGCATAGGTCGTCATACAGACTAAATAAATTAACCTGCGGGCAGTTTAATTCAGCACCTGCACTGAAGGGTATGTCCATCATGTTGAACAAGCGGGCCTCCGGGGAGCTGGGGTGATGGGGGTGGGGGAGAAGTAATCATGAAACACCTTTATTTGTATCTTTTTCCGTGGAACTGGCCTCCGCCCAGCCCCCACCTCCCCAGCACCCCCATGCCCCCGATGAACACTTAGCCAGGCCTCGGCTCTTCTGAACTCTTAGGTGGTAAAAAGTGCAACCACCACCTTAAAAGTCACAAAGCCCATTACAGGTGTGCAATTTAAATGTCTGGCTCTGGGGGTGCCTGGGAGGCTCAGTCGGTTGAGCGTCAGGTCATGATCTCATAGTTCGTGAGTTCGAGCCTGGCGTCGGGCTCTGTGCTGACAGCTCGGAGCCTGGAGCCTGCTTTGAGTTCTGTGTCTCCCTCTCTCTCTGCCCCTCCCCCACTCACACTCTGTCTCTCTCTCGAAAATAAATGAATATTAAAAAATAATAAATGTCTGGCTTTGATGTAAAGGCCAAAGTCAGGCTCAAAATTCATCTTCTGCCATCCCCCAACTCAGTGCTATCACAGGGGGGACCAGAAGTGAAGGAGAAGGACACGCGTGTGTGTGCACACGAGTGCAACTGTGTGTGCAGGTGCGTGTGCGCACACGTGTGGGTGCATGGGGGCGCCCCTCCCCCACCTTGCACTGTCACTCCTGCCCCCCTCTTGCTGACCACAGGTTCCGATCCCTTGGAGAAGGAAGGAAGGGAAGGATGCCTACGGGGGTTCTTTCTCCGTGCTTCAGCCTCCACCTGCCTTGTTTTTAGGACCTAAGACACCCAGATAGTTCCCGCGGCATCCTTTGCTCTGACGAACTCTGGGCATTCGGGCCACTCATCTCTGCTTCCAGCGGCCAGCCAGCCCATCCTTCATCCCTACGGTTTCTGTGGATGGGGCAGGATGCTATGCCTTCAAGCGAGGTGGACACATCCCCTCCCCGGGTAGCCCTGCGGAAGTCGCGGTCACTAGCGTTGGGTAAAAGGGCAGCCAGGAGGGAGGGGGTACTCCCAGGCCACCGACAGCAATCTTTGCGTGTCCTGTTCCCGTGGCCACGGCCTCCTCCTCAGCCTCTCCACTGTGTCTGAACCAGCTCAAAGTTGAAAACAGTCTTCCTCCATGCCCCCCGGCAAGCACCGCGTGCTCTCGCTGTGGAATGCGGCAGCTGTCGTCCGGTTGATCCTCCTGAGCTGGCACAGGGATAGCCCCTGTTATCATCCTGCTGCTGCCAGGTCCAGGGTGGGCTCACTCTTACCCAGGTGGGGCAGGCCTGGTTTGCCAACACAACCCACGGCCTCATTAGCCCTTTCCACCCCTTCCCTGCCTGCCTCCTCTGCCCCCCTAACAGGTGGCCTGTTGAGACCCACGACCCTGCTGCTGTGAAGACCCCGTAAACAGTGGTCACACCTTTGGTGCACGAAGACGCACTTTGTTACCCACGAGGCACGTTCCCCCCAGCCCGGTTCCCTGAGTGCCGGGACCTGGGCCATCTCCATCAGGGGCGAGATGCCCACAGCTCCGGGTCCCGCGGGCTCCCCTCCAGCACCACCACACATGCTGTCCTCCCTGCTGGGCCCCTGCTGAGACGGCGCCGTCTGCCTCAGGTCTCCTGCCGCCCGCCCAGCCACCCATCCTTCCACCATGTTCCCAGGCCTCATGCTAGTCCACTCTCTCTGCTCTGTAGGGGCAGAGCGGGCCTCTGACTCGCCCACAGGTCCCCAGGGGCAACGCGGGGCTTGAACCAGGCCGTCCGACGCCCTTCACACTCCATGGAGGAGGTGGAGGAGGTGGGGGGAGAGGTGGATAGCCAGGGGAACACAGGGGCTTGCAGAATTCAACACCTGGCAGGTCCAGTCTCCACAGCCCTGCTTCTGTGGGCACCACCTTGCCCGAGGGAGTGTTGGGGCCCCCGGCCAGTCATGTCGTACCGCCCTCCTTTCTCCATCAGGCTGTGCTGAGGATGCAGGCAAAGGTGGGGAGCACCCCCTATAAGGTGGTTGGGGAGAAGGGCACTCTGCCCCGAGGAAGGAACGAGGGACACCCACGAGATGCTCTGCCTTTCAAGTCTGGTCTCTTCCTTGTAGGCTGTCCCAGGAATCCTCCTCTTGGAGGGCAGAAGGCAAGGCTGGGGTTAGGATAAAGCAAACAAGAAGCTTTAAGGGAGCTCAGCCTCAGGCTCGTGCAATGGCAGGGCTGCACCTGAGAGTGAGGCCCCTTAAATGTTGCCCCCCGGGCACCCGCCTTGCCTCCCCCTAGTCCTGGCCCCAAGCAGAAAGTTACTCTACCCGTAGCAGTGGCCAAGCTCTGTACCCCAGCAGTCCGAATTCTGAGGCTGAGACCCAGCAGCCAGCCATGGCGAGGGTGAACCCTCTTGGGACGGTCCCTCCTGAACCCAGCTCGCCCGAGGCCGGGCTGCCACCAGAGTCCCAGGTCATTGCTGGGCAGTCGGCCACGGGCGGGAGGCGCTACACGTCAACCCTCCAGCCAAGACAGAGCCCCTCACTAGAGCTCAGGGTGAAGGAAACGAAGGAATGGTCTCTGCCTCCCCCAGAGCCTCCTTTCCGTTCCTTCCGATCTTGCCAGGGCTGCTCCTTCCCTCCCCAAATCCCCCTGGCACCCACAGCTTGCTTTGCTGGAAACTTCTTCCTTATAAGGTTGGCTTCTTGACTGACAAGGTTTTCTACCAGCTCCACATTTCCTCTCCTGATTTAGAGACAAGTCTCCATTAAAGAATATTTGGAGAGAAACTTAATTGCACTGCTTTCGAGTAACTGCTAACAAAGTATTTCCAAATAAATATCCCCAGGGGCCCACATCAAAGAAAAGATAAGACTCATTTGCAGTTAGCACAATCTATTTACATACAAACTGTTGCACCAAAGTCTAAAAAACACTTCTGCTCTTAAGTAGGTTAAACAAAAACCTTCCAATTTTATTCTCTCAGCTTTTTGGTTGAACAACCTTTTTCTTCCAAGATTTCGAGAAAAGTAAACTCAGTTTACTTTTATACGCCAGTTCAGTTACACGCCTTCTGAATTCTGATTGTGTGGGGTCCAACTAGATGAGGTCAGAAGTAATGTGGGTACCCCCTGCCCCGAGGACCCCTGGTCCTGTGTGTGCATCCTGAACAGGGGCCCCCATTTATCCAGCCCCTTGAAAGAGCATGGCACCAGGCGTCGACCCCTGGGGGGCACCAGGAGAAGGAAATGCCCTGAGCCTTCAAAGGCAAGGTAAGGGGCTTCGGAGAACAGGTCAGGGAGCCTCAGTTTTGGACAAAGGAAGTAAAGAGAGCCTATGAGAAAGAAGGAAGTCTTGGACAGATGGGCCTGGAGAGTAAGAGAGGAAAGAGCATTTTCGTCCTAAATTTAACAAGGGGGATTTGGATGGGGCACCTGGATGGTGGGAGAGGTGGGGTTGCTTGTGAGCTGGAGAAAAGAGGAGTTCTGTGCTTCTGGCCTAGGAGCCTCAATGTGGCTTTTCTTCTAGAATCTCCCAACCGAATGAGGAAAGACTGTTACAAAGCGGTGATTCCAGAAGTCTTGGCTTTGAGGCCTCGGCTACTGGCTCTCCTACTGGACAAGCCATTGCTGGTGGCTGACCACGGGGGCGGGGGGG